CACCAAACGATAGAGAATTGATCAAGGGTCACGATAGTGAAGGTTTCAAGTCGATATCTCTTACCGTTTTGCCGCAATCGGCGCGGAAATCTGAAAAAGTTAGATTTTTCCGAAAATTTGACCTTTGACCGGTCATAAGTAGGTCAAATGTTGACCTAGGACCAAAAAATATACCACCAATCGCGAGATCTCGTTGAGAGCAATCCGTTGGTCTTTTCCACTAAGCTCTACGAGTTACGACGCTTCGTTTTCAAACGCCAGGGGGGGGGGGTCGCACCAACCCCCCCCCCCCTGCATGGGCGAAGGTGGCAAAACACCGTTTACGGGCGAGGGTTAAGTCACTAAAAATCTGTCTTTAAAGTAAATAAGTTTATTCCTCGAGCTGAGAGGCCAAAGTTGTACAGTTGGAGTGGGTACTTTAACACATCATGTAGGTATGTGCTTACATGCATGCATACATTCTCGAATTAAACATCAATAATACCCACTAAAGACATATTGCTCTTTGGAACGTCGCTTTCGGTATGGGGATATCGTGGGTCTGAGCCAGCTGACACGGGTGACACCCCCTCAGTGGGGTTCTGGCATGGTCTGCGTTGGATCACCCACCACCACAATGGGCGGTTCCTCAAAACCAGCGTAATTCAGACCGGTGTGAGGCGGCGACGTGAGGCACGCAAGTGCGGGACCGTCCCCATGCCGTGGCGGTCCGGGTCAGGAGAGCAGCCCCCTCCCCGCGCGGCGGGCGGTCGCCCATTCATCCGCGACCCCAGCCCCATGACTGAGGGGTTGACAGAGGGCAAACATCACGTATTTAAACTGGGCAAACAGACGGTGTTCTACGCTAGGGACATCTCGCGGCTGTGATTTACGATACTGCTTCGCCAAACTGCCTTTAGATGGTGGGTCAGTCGGTGTCCGTCTGCTGCTGTGCGCCGAGAATTAGCCCTATAAATTACCATGAATTACACCTTCTAGTGTGACGATACAGTCACATTATCATATAGGTCGCGTTAAGATGCATATGAAGAAACGACTGCGTTGAAAAAATATGTCATTTCATCGAACGCTGAAATGCTCGAAGTGCTCGCTAAAAAATGAACTCGCTAACTGAGCCCTCAAGGTCGGCTGCCGTGTTGCATTGCATTTAAGCCAAAAACGCGGACTGGGTGTAAGTTGTCGAGAAACAATTTTTGGCCTGAAGTGTTCCCTAAAGTATTATCTACATAGATCCAGGGAACATATTTGCTATCTCTGATGGCTTAGGAGATATTGAATCGTAAGTCCTCCGGTGTACCCTGTTTTGCGGCGGCCCACGTGTTAAAAGCTGCTGAACATTTTTACTTTGACCAAAAAACGCGGGCACAGTTTTGTCTGTACGAAAATGACTTTCGTCCTATCGCATTCCACGTGGGCTGAAAATTCAGAAACCAGGGAACATATTTGCTACGACCAGTACTTTTCACAATTCAGACCGAAACGTGAAAAAATAGCCCCAAAACCCTATGGCGGGCACGTCTCCGCGGCGCCCGGCCGCGGGTCGCTAGTTCCCGAAACGACACACCATGTATCAGCAGGCTATCATTTTTCACCTTATGCTATATCATAAGCGACAAAAACTATGACAGGTGTGATTCCTCCTGCAATAGAAACCTCTGGCAGATGATATACGCCTGGAAAAGTAGCCAAAGACAGAAAGTTTTACTCCAACAAACGAACCATCCCGACGAAGAACATCTCTCGGAACACTTCCGTGCAAGATCAAGAGTGTATAATTATCCTGGGCTAAACACCTTCTTTCGAGAGAAGGGTCATCCAAGAGAGGAGGACTCGGGAGAGGACGCCTGTCCAAGGGAGGACCACCCAGAGAGGACAGCCGAAGGAGGGGTTTTGTAAAGGGCCACCGCGGAAGTCAACTCTCACGTGCAGTGCACATTCGGGCAGAGAGCTCGGGCGGAAGACTGACATACTCTCGGTGGTGGAGGACGATCCTCGAGTACAGAGTCACCCCCGAGCGGAGGACCCGAGCGGAGAAACTGTGCGGAGGACCCAGCTGGAGGACCAGCCCGGGAGGACCGGCCCGGGAGGGTGACGTCGTCGCCGTCGCGCGCCGAGTATCGATCGTCGGCGTCGGCGTCGGCTCTTGGTGTCCGTGTGTGTGGGGCGGCCCGCCCAGTGAGCCGCCCGGCGGGTGGTGAGTAGCGACCGTCGACGGTGTCGCTGCGGAAGCACCGACGGACAGCGGTGTCTCGTCGGCGATCGTTCTTCAGACGTCATCGCAGGCAGCACGGACTAGCTCTCAGCATGGACCTCTGACGGATTCAGGTGAGCTCCAGTCGTGCAGGGCGCTAGTGCTGTGGTGGGGGAAGTTAAGTTTTGAAGGGAATTGGTACAAAGGAGCAACGATATCAGAGCTAAAAAAAACTGATGGGCAGGACACAGATGTAATCTTTTAGCTCCGATATGAGAAATTCCGCTGTCTGTTGCTTTCCAATTCTTAATGTCATGAAAGGACAAGCAAAACATATCATCACGGCATTTTCACAAAGTCCGAAACAACCCTGTATGTACTCTTGCAAGTCAAATGAATATTTTCGTCATTATTTTCACGTAGGGTGGCAAGGTCCGTTCCAACCGAAATCCACCAAATATTCCACTCAAGAATGTTAGAAAGACGTGCCATATCTAAGGGCGATAAATGGCCAAACCAAAAGCATTGCAGCAGCTACAAATGACTTTCAATCCCGATTGTTCTCTGGTATCAGTGAAGCGACGGTTTGTTGTGGTGCAATGAGACTAGAGCAAAACTTTAGCTCGGTTTACAAATCAGGCGAGTGGTTTGAAGTAGTCGTTTCCATCGCCCTTCACTGCTTCTTAACTAAAATGGCTAGTGGCATGCTTTTAAGAGAGATGACGTCAGCTTGTCAGTGGCAATGGCTTTTTAGGCAAAGCACTGGTCTACACGTCAACCATACAGCCTAGTCATCTGCTCTGCTCCTTATCACACATCGCAGTTCAAGTCAAAGAAACGCCCAAGCCAAATAATTATTTTATGTTACGTACGGTAGCTTCGTATATTTCTCTCCTTCAAATATCAATTTCATTGACACGTAATCAAACTCCGCGTCGATGTTTCGATGGGGAAAGAGGATCATTAGCTTTTACCGGTGCAGAGCTGCACACGAACTTCACACACTTTTCTACGGAAACGACAACGTCGGGTAATTGAACGTCCCGCAAACCCTGAAACTGAGCCGAACTCATCTTCCTGTTTATCCGCTAGGCCACACTGACTAGATCCTGCATCGGTCTCCCCTCATTGACGATTCCCTAATGTCTTTGGGCTCTGAGCTAACTTTAGACCCAATCAATGTGTTCGATACAGGCTTCGCAAAAACACACGATCATTCTGCTTGATGACAACAGGAAATGCCTGGTGGACCGATCGTTGGTTTTGTGGGATTTCCTTTAGCAAGTAAAGGATTAGAAACTGCTTTTTGGATAGCTGGATAAACGGGAAGAAAGCGGGAGCGTCATCAGTGAATGCGTTATGACATCTCTTCTCATGTGCTGCAGCTGAGGACGATTGAGATCGAGAATAGCACGCAAATGTGTTTGACTTTCCCAAATAAAAACTTATATTTCGCAAAGAAATTTCATCAGCCGTAAACATTACATTTCCATGGAAAAAAATCAAATTTGTGGGTTATATATAAATAATCCTTGCTAAACCTCAGATAATCTATGGGGTGTCCCTCCCTTGCTTTCATCAGTCGGCCTGTAATAAACAACTCACAGACCACTTTCAACGGGCTTTAAGTCCATAAAGTAAAGTAAAGTGAAGTAAAGTATAAAGCCTTCTGAACAAGGATAATGTGAGAACACCATTAATAATTTTTGCTCCGAAAATTGACTTATTTTGACTTATTTTTTATTTATTATTATGATAAATATCCGTACCTACTGGCATGTTTGTATACAACTACGTGGTGGTCGATTCCCTACTCGGAGCGTCGTGGTATCCCAATAGGCGTTCATCTATCAGGCCGCGGTCTAATAACGTCCACGTGCGTGTGCTCCTGTTCACGAGAGGCATTGGCAGCGTCGGCACGCGCTTCCGGCGCGGCGCGGCGTCCACAACGGGCTACGTAATCACCCCGACATCGGACGGGAAGGACCGGCGGCATCCATTGTGCGATCGATTATAGAGAAAAGCAGGAATGGTGATATTTACGAATACAGCATGGCAGTACAAATCACGCACACTTTATGATGTTAAATTACGCCTTTGGCAGATTTTTGATAAATCTGGATAACTCAGTATTTGTCACCAACAATGTCGGCATAGATAGCTGCATTTCAAGACGGGTGACGTGGCCAAATTTGCCATGAAAGCTGCTTATCACAATTAGCATGATGCAACTACAACACTTGACACGGGTACCTGAGGATTTGGCATTCACGTTAAACAACGCCTCCTCACAGAGATGAGGCGTTGCTCTTGTTCTGATGGGAGCGCTTACCCCCACGGGACAGAGAATATTCATGGTCCACTTTTACAGTGACATTTAGACACATAAAGTTCACGATTAATGACACCCGGAAGATTCATGGTGACCATTAAGCTTCGCAAAGTGATTTGTTGCTGCGGAAAATAATCACACAAGGCTGGGATGGCGAACATCGCCGCCATTACTTCAGATGAGGCTCGAGACCGCCACGGAACCACCTCGGTGGAGAGCAGCTCTTCCTCGAAACCGCCAGAGAAATGAAAGAAAAGCCCGTATATCATACGAAGAACAAGCACCAAGTTCTCGTCCTTTTTAGTTATGACTGATGCCAAAAGTGATAAATGTGACTGCTCCCTGAACATTGTTATACAATGATCTGGTTATCCGAAACATATTGGTATATGAAATGTATGTATTGCGAGCGGTACGCCCGCAGTTACCAGCAATGAAGTAGAGTTCCTTGTCTTCGCTGTTTGCTGTTTCTACATTCCCACTTTCTCTATGTAAGGCCTGTCACCCTCACAGATCTCTCTGACCATCCCGTATTGTCCTCACAGGCATTTGACCACCTCCTCGTCGTCCTCTGACAGATCACTCTGACCAGCCCCTATCCTTTCTAAGAAAGGTATGTATTTCTATCGTCCTCGCAGGTCTCTGACCGCATTTGTCGTGCTCACCGATCACCCACTGTCCTCTCATAGTCTCTGACCAGGTCCAGTTGTCCTCCCTTCAGGTCTTTCCCATCCATGTCCCATATCATCCCTACGGGTACCCGACCACCTCTATCAACCTCACAGACCTCTGGCCACCTTTTATCGTCCTCTCGCAGGTCTCTAACCAGTTAAAACCCCTCCCGTTCTCCGCAGGATGCCGCGCAGGCGAGCGGCGCTGATGCGCCCGCTGGCCGCCCTGGCTGCGCCGGGCACCTTCCTCTTCTGCAAGCTCTCCCAGCTGCAGGAGACTGCCAAACGACGCGTCACAGAGCGTGAGCTCAAACAGCTCAACCATAAAATCGTGAGTAGTCGGCTGCACAGCTCGTCCGGCGCACGAAATGCGTCGGATGGGATTACCGTAAGACTGCCTAATAAGGTGCAGTTAATTATGGCAGAGTTTTATTATCTTCGGATAAAACTTCGATTGAAGTTGAAGCCCCATGAACCCAACCTTGATAAAATATGTTGCCAGCATTACACTACAAGCCTCCCATGATGTGTTCTGATAAGGGTGCGGTGGTTATTTACAGTGACATAACTCGCGTAATATCGCGTCATTACGTCAAACTCACAATACAAATCAAATCACACAGAGAATGGCCTTAGAAGCTGAACCACTTCAAATTTACAGAGGCGGCTTCGTTGACCTTTCGGTAATGTTAGCGCCCGACATTGGGACAGACCAATTGCCGACCGTTGTTCACCCTTATTGATCTAACAGCACCCTATTGAGCGCGACACTGGCTCACATCTATTTCACAACTGTTTGCGGCCCAAGTGATCATTAGCAGAAACCACCGCAGACCGCCGGCCTTCACCAGCATTGTTTGTTCGGCAAAACGTCCGGCGCTGTTTAACCAGCTCAATCGATGGTTGGCAGGGATAACGAGCCTAACTCAGCCCACCATCGTGGCCGATATGCGAGACTATAACCTTGAAAATAATTGAAAATAAATCAATACAGGTTTCAAATGGCCGTGACCGAGCCATTTCTACTAAAGGGGTTGGTGGAAAACGAGAAGCTTCTTCTCCTGCCTTGCCAATTTGGGTTTTAGGCATGAGGCTCGTCGATAATGTCGATATTTCCAAACCATTCACATGTCTTGAAAGCGATAATTTAGCCCGTATTCAGTTCCACTCCCAACTAAATTTGCATTCATCATCTCTGTTAGCTTGGCTAGCCCGTTAGCATTCTGCCTGCAGCAAAAACTCAAACCATGCGCTCCTCCAGCCGACACGTCATTAGTAACCGCCTGACGAGCCTTGTCGTTGGTAATTGCCGCGGTGCCATCGCGCCCGTGGTCGGCCGGAGAGATGATTCGAGCAATAGCGCCCGACCGTCTACTGGCTGTGATTCGCATTGGTCGGGTAGATCCCCCATTAGCCGGATGATCGGGTGGCAACAGCTGACGGCTCTGTCACCTCCTGGATGTGGGTCGTGGTAGTCCGTGCCTCCCCATGGCATCTGTCCTCCCCCCATCGTACCTACCACAACGCTCGTGGGATATCGGTGTGTCGAATGGAATGGGGAAGGGGACGGGAGGGGGCAGTGTGGAGAGAGTTTCATGAAAATCAAACGTCCCTTTCAAAGATGATTCATATTTTGAATCTTAGTAGAATCTTAATTGAATATAAAAAATGAACGCTGCAAGTGCAGACCCTTTCAGAAGCGATAATCCAATCGCTAATCGCAATTACCTTTTAACCTTTCTTGCCTACGTTCTGTCTATGCGTCAGGTTTTTACATATCAGGGAATTTCCTCTTGCACGTTTTGCAACACCCAACATCGACAGCTGATATGTCACGTGAGTCATGCAGGACGGCAACAGCAATGTCACAAAGTCACAAAGTCAAAGTCATGCGGCCTGTAATGCATATTGTAGTTGGAATTTATCGACCGAGATGGCATGTTAGTGCAGAATGCAGTCACGTTACTTCCTACGATTGCCGCGTGTAGTCTGCATCTGCAAGGAAGTACCTTCCCAGTGCCTTCTTTTTCGTCGAGATATCAGACCAACGCGATTTCAGAAGCTTTAAAATAGGTACTTCACGACCGCTTCGCCGAACCCAAGGAAAAAGTAACGTATGGTCTATTCCGGGCTTCACCTGACGAAATTCACTTATCCGTGCCGCTGATGCGAGCTAATACACCTTTTTGCACTCAAAATAGGCATCTTTTCATTCAATTTCGGCGAATTGCATTCAATTTCAGCGATCTCTCTATTCCGCCGAAATTGAATGAAAAGATGCCTATTTTGAGTGCAAAAAGGTGTAGTTACGTTCCTGGCATTGTGCGTCAGCATCATACCAGAATACTACAACACTGACTGATGCGCATCGTTCGCCGAAGTTCTTTTAATGCGCACGATAAAATCAATATCCAAAAAATGAAAAAATGAATGTTTGCTCTCACTAAGCGGAAGATGTTGTGATGATTGTCAATTATTGTCACTCATTTCAATATTTGATAGCAAGTAGAAACAACTTCCTCTGCTGCATTACAATAAAACAACATAAAACATGAAAAACAATCCTAAGCTCGGTGGCCGCCAGCAGCAAGACGCTCCATGAACGTTATCTACAGATATCGGACCCGCGAACTACAGCAAGGTTTCGAGGTCACGTGGCGTGCAGTCAGCGCTTGATGCCCGATGTTCCGTGCTGCCCATCCGGTGCGGGCTCTACCAACTATCGGGAATCACGTGACAAGCCGCAACATCGAAATGAGACGCCGGGAATGCATTACATTATAGTTACGCAGTTTACAGGAATTCCATCACTGGGATTGTAGTTGAAGCGGAGTAGCAAATTACTATGGGCGTAACGGGATACAATTTACGCTTGGCATCTGGCCTAGTCATTTACGACGTGTGCTGTTATAACCCGCGCCCTGATGGGGGGGCCATTTTGCCCCCCCCCCCCTGTGGTTTTTCTTAAATAGCGAGAAAACGGCGGCGCGCAGCGCCGCCAAATTTTGGGTACCTTACCGGGCATCAATTTGACACCTTCACACAAAATTTCAAGTCACAGGTCACCTCAGGTCAGGAGTTATTAAGGTCAAACTGAGGTCATATTCGAGTAAAAATGAGCAAAAAACATGACATCTTGAAACGCTCACCAATTCTACAGTTAACAAGCAATTTTAAAGTTCTTTATGTGGTTGTGTAGAGAAAAGACGGCGCTACAAAACTGCTATCTCGGATTTTCGAAATTTTGGGATTTTGACCCCCAAAAATCAAAAAAATTGATTTTTTTTAGAAAAACTCAAAAAATTTCCAAAAGTTTTTCGAATTTCGAAAAAACCGGAATATATGTGATAGCCCCTGCACTCTTCGATATACATACCAAATTTTAGATCGATACCTCTTTTTTTGGGCAAGTTATAGCGAAAAAACTGTTAAAAATTGATGACGTCAAATTTTTGAACTCTAGACCTCGTAGCGCAAAACGGAGACCACCATTGAACTCCCCGTGACGAGCTGCATCGAATCGATACCCATTTTATGCAAAAATATCAACTTTGAAATTTGACCTAATTTGACCTGACCTTGACCTGACCTTGACCTGACCTTGACCTGACCTTGACCTGACTTTGACCAAAACGTGACCTAAGCTGGCCCTAAAGTCTGTCTGATCCACATAATCGCATTTGTCATATAAAATGGACCATAAAACATGTATCACACGACACTTTCATATTGTGACCCCCCAGTGACCTGACCTCTGTGACCTGACCTGGTATCAGTGACCTCAAATAGCAAAATATGTGTTTGAAGAACATTTCCCCATCGATGATTTTCAATGAAATGCATTTTACACGATTGTACAACGCATTTCTTGAAATGCCTGTAAACGGTGAAAATTCGACCTTTGACCTGACCTGTGACGTCATCGGTTTGACCGAGGTCAATGAAATTGGGTCACAAGGTAGTTCCCCGTTGGGGCTATCCAACACCGTTTACCGCTTGTCGCTATGTTGCGTGGTTCTCGAGATCTGAGGGGGGGCCAAAATGCCCCCCCCCCCCATCAGACCGCGTTGCTCGGCAGACCCCATCTGGGCGCGGGATAATATACGAACATAGAAGAACCACTCATAATGTCGTAAATCCACATGACCAAAGCTGAAAGCAATGGTATGCGTGCATATTTATAGCGTCTTATTCCGTCTGCCACGCCCGCTAAAAAGCTGGCAAATTGCCACCAAGAGGTAATCTAATAAGACTTTCAATTATGGGTCCGATAGTGGATCGAGACGGTAACGATTCACACCCACTCTGGGTCAGAGATAAGCCTCGGTGCTGTCGTCAGATGAATGCCAGGTGATAAGATCAAATGTCACTCGCAGATGACTCGTTTGGGAACGAGGAAATCAGCTTTGGGAGCGCTCGGGTCTTCCGGTTCATTCGGTTTCGCAGGCATTTCGTATGTTTTATGTTGATCAAGTGATGCGTCACTACCACTGATCTACACTGGACACATTTCCACATACTTGGTGGATTTGGAGAGATGAATAATAACCTGTGTTGATTTGATAATTACTTTTCTTCATGTTCCCACGTCACTCATGCTTTGAATAATTTGCATGAGGGCACCGACAGTATATTGTGCAAATGCCCAACTGCTTACTGTAGCCTAAATGATGATTTCAAGAAATGGCGATCTCAAGTATTGATCCAGTCTCCAACTTTGTTCAGGGCGCAGCTGCTATAACGAGGCTCCGACCATCACTTCCCGGACTCTGAAGTCGCCGCCTTGCATCCGAAGTGACGACATGACCTTATATTAGTCCAATTATCAAACTCGTCCGGCGCTAATCGAGGGTCGGAGGTGAAATGGCGGCTCACTCCTCCCCACGTGTTCAGAGAAACGTCCGTTCAACCGGAGATCACGGAGGAAACTTTCCGATGTCATTCAGAGGTCACCGTCAAGCTGTCAACGGATTAAAATATATCTGTCGCACTGCGGGACTACGAAATGTACAGCATTCATAGGCAGAGAGCCTATGCAAGCCTTTTTCGGTGTTTCGGAGCTAGTTTTATTTCAAAAATTCTTCCAGTTGACAAAGCTTGGTTGTCGTATTGCATGTGCTTGATAGCAAACGTTTGAACATTAATTAACCTTCCAGGCGGTGGGGGGGGGGGGGTATTTTTTTTGCCCCCCTTTAATTCTCTATGTTACCAAATATTTCTTGACATTTTAATCAGCCGTCTCTGTAACGAATCGCTCATCAGCAGCTTTGCCGTCATTTCAGAAACTAAGCTCAACTTACATATATTTATTCTGAGCAGAGTGCGGCAGACTCTGGCTGCTCATATTTCGGCCTTTGCTCGCCCCGGCTGAGTGCAATCAAGGCAGCGGCCGCTCCTCTCACTACGAGGCGAAAATTGCAGTCTTCGGCCCAGCCGGCTGGAAGGACCATCCAGGGCCGACGGAGCGGCGGCGGCGGCGGCGGCGGCGGCGCCGACAGGCGGTTCATCAGACTGAGTGATGCGATAAAACGACGGCTGGATCCGCCCGCTCCGCCGCCACCGGCGCAGCCTCCGCCGCCGCCGTTACTGGGGGTGATTGTCAGAGGTTTTTTTGTTCCGAAGCAGCGCAGAACGGAGCGACGCTACGGGTATCGTTTGGGCTGACGCCGTAGGCGGATGACGGAAAACATGGAGATGGGCCCGCGGCAACGAAAAAGGACGTGATGGATAGGCGATGGCAAGCGGCATTCGTTCAAACGCATTAAGGATACTTTGGAACAAATTAGATGCATTTATAATGAAAACGCCAGTGATACGCTAATTGGAACGCACAAGGAAGATTTCAGCTGACATCAGGCTTGGCACTCTAGCTAGTTTGTCCAAGATCAAAGTCGTTGGTACTCTGAAGTAGGGCGTAACCTCATACGAGTCGAGTTTCTGTTGAGTCAACCGTTTCATCATGTTAGGTCAGCTGTGTGATCATCCGTTTGATGATCCAAAGCGTCTCCAAGCTTAGTACTTCTGACGTTCGATGGCGGTTTATTGGGCACGTGACGTCATATCTGAACGTGACGTCATCCAACGGCAATAAAGGAGCCTGTGATGACGAAAGAGTGATCAGTGAAGATGCACCGAAATGTTGAAAAAGAAAAAAGGTCAGATATAGCATCAATTTCCATGTAGCCCGAAGCCATAATCCCTGAGCGATCAATATCGTATAAGCTAGCTTGGATTTATGAGGAAAAAGCAGACGAATCTGGTCACGGCAGAAGGCTCCAGCAAGAGATAACATCCACCGAAATCTCTGCTGATGCGTCATTTTGCCAGAGCTTCAACGGCATGCAGGATGCACACATTGTCCGCTGTAGTCTACCTTCTACTGTGAGCTGTGCGTTACCATTTCATCCTTGAGATTATCCCTGATCATGAGACTGGTTCTGGAGCTACCCCCTGACCCCTGCGCCCTTTTCCAACCTGCCCTGCCGACGGTGGCGGCCAGCCGGCAGATTGTCGCAACAAATGGTGATTGTTGCGGATAAGAGTCGGGATTTGTGGGTGGCTCGGAGCGCCTTCTCTCCTCGGCGGCGGAAAATGGCCGACGATCAGCAGTGCCGCGCCCCATAGAGGAAAAGAAGTGGCCACCACGGGACGCGGGCTCATCATATTATAGGGAACAGCGTAGCTAGCAGCTACTATGCATTTGCTTAATTAACGTATCTCTAAAATTTACAAACAGACATTCCGTGTCTTCTTTGAGGCAATGTCTTTCTTTCGCCTGTTCTTCATCGGTTGTTTTCGGCTTTCTTGTTCGTTATGCAGGAGCGAGCCCCGCGAAGAGAGCACTAAGATAACCTCATTTGTTAGCGCTGTAACGACGCTATGTAGGGCGACCCTGATGGTCTTTATGTGTTTCCCGTGGTTCCAGGATCTGTAGATAGCTGTGGGAGCCGATATGTGACGGTGGTCTACAGAGACTGTCGGAAAAACTCACATTAGCTGTCCTCCAGTCAAATGGCAATGGAATTTGAAATGTAAAGCCAACTTCGACTGGCTCATACAGCTAAATCACATTTATTTTGTACCATGAAAAGTGAAAGATATTTACTGTATAATATACTTTGGAAAGAGATACTATTGAATATATTTGTCAGAAATGTTACCATTGTAATGTGGAAGTATAGGGGTGTAATAACTCGCACAAATGCCTGAATCGCGCGTAGATACACCAATCATAAGTAATAGTGAGATGAGGCATACACTATGCGTACGTAAAGCAAACAACAGAAAATTAAATTCTATCATGTGCGCACATAACGTATCTTGAAAAAGTCGAGGGCGGTAGCATTGTATCGTAACGTAAACGTGGCTCCAGGGACGACCGCTGAAATTGCCCGGGGACCCTGGGAACAGGAAGAGGAACAGAGGCCCGCCAGATGAAAGGACATTTCCACAAGTGGGAGATGGATCTACCTTCGACGTAACTGGTGTCGTGCGGCTAGATAATTAGGTCATCTGCAGATCAACGCGCAGTCTTATATCATCTGAGACATGATGAATGGCACTGAACTGTCATCTATCACATGCTGAGTTCAACAGATGGGATGAAACATATGATTTACCATCCTAAGACTTGAGCCTTAGAGATTGGACACACGAACAAGAAAGTGCGTGAATTGTTAACTGTTATAAACAGTGCTGAATTAACAAGCTGTATTTTCTCCGCTTACACTTACGTGATATTAGTTACCTAAGGTCCTATTCATTTTTACGAACATATGTAGAATGGCGATGTTTTCTATGCACCCCTGCAGCGTGGAATTAAAATCCAATTAAAATAACCCTGAGGTGGAGACCCGCACGATCCGAGCGTATAACGAGGTCGTACCGTGACCACCCATGGGATCTGGGGATCTCACTGCCATGCATACCAATGTCGTAACGACATCACAGGATTAACAGCTCGCTGGGGGTTGCGGGATGCAGTGCAGCCATGCAGTGCAACCTGAGTTGGTACCAAATGGGAGAGAGTCGTGGCTGAAACAAAAAAGTGAGTGTGAAGCGTTCAGCTACGTAAGCAGGTCGCAACGCTGCTGATCGTTGGGTGCAAGCAGATTATTTTTACGCAAAAGGTAAACAAGCACCGGAGGCACGAGAAAATGCAAAACTAAATGGTCAAAATGCTATTTCCACCAATGTTGTTTAGACGAGGCGTTGGCTGGTGTATAGTTATGATGTTCGTGACATATTGTTCTGTTTGACAGGATAAACTGCTATTAAAACTGGATGAATCGGAAACGGAGCCGGCCAAGTCAAGGGATGAAGAGGTGAGCCTGTATGTTTATCGTACACATCAATCCTATATTTGTTTGACAAGACTCTCCTGATACAGCATAGCGTAACAAATATTGGAGCGAAGCACTTGAGTGTGTAATGCGTATGCCGTTGTTCAATGTTTTAGAGTAGAACAAAATGCTTAGTATGCCGATTTCGCAAAGCAACGGCAACTAAGCAATCGTCCTCGTGACAAGCACCCACAGTCCGCCAAACTCAGCCGGACTCTGTATTCATGTATTCTGATTGATACAGCCGTTAGATTCTCAGCCAGCGTTCCGCCACATTGCTAGTCCAAGAGCGGTTGGCGAGCAGCGCTTCAGCCACCGAATCTTCCATCGTGGATGGTCACTGCGCCACCGAACCTAGGCGCCGTCGCTCGCAACTTTAACACAGAATGGTTTCATTTGCATAGAAATAGACAGCGATGAGGCAGTAAAAATTCCATCAATATGTGACGGTGTGTCCCTAAATGGACGTAAAGCTGAGGAGAATGATGATGTGCTCAAGGACCGACCCGAAAATGCAGGTTTTGAAAGAGTCGGGAGGTAGAATGTTCGTTACCTCACTGGGGGGCAGGTGTTCGTGAAGCTCATGTCGTAAATAATAACGGTTACTTTCCAGAAAATTGGCATCTGATGCAACACATAAGGCAGGTTTCATTTCTTCTGGGTTCAAAAAATCCATTGGGAGCATTATTATAACTTGGTATAGCTGTGCATAGTATATGGTATTAGGACAGTGCTGGGCGGATGCAATTTATCATAGATATTCTAAGGGTCATTTTTTATGTTTAAAAACTATATGCATTTTTTCAATTAAATGCCAAAATTGTTTGTATATTTAAACTGTGAAACTACATATGTTACGTCTATCGAAACCAAGTCAAATACCAGAAGGATTATTTTAAAATATGTAAACTGCTCAATTTCATAACATCCGTATACGTTTTATCTCGTACTCAACTCGCTCAATTGAACTCGCCCACATCACCCGCACAGAATATTCGGCGACGAGCACCCACTAAGTCCCGCAGCCGCGAGCACCGCGGATTACGTCCCCGTGTCCTGTCACCGCCCCCGGACACCTCCCCGGAGCCGGTAGCGAGCGTCGATGGATCGGTCTTCCCCGGCGGATATGGATATCCGGTGGGGGCCCGTCGACGCCGTCGCACCCCCCGGGGCAGGAGGAGGCGTGGCCGACACGGCACGACGCTGGCGACGCTGGGCATCGACGCTGTAGCGAGAGAGGGGTGGTACCCCAGCAACGGGAGGCACCCAGTGTGAGCGACGGCCTGTCCCCTTTCGTTAGCCTCCGGACAGGGGAGAGCTATCTATGGTGGCCTCTGATGGCATGTCAGAGATACTGAATGGCCGTTGTTGGAAAGATGGTGATGAAGAAGACGAGACTGCCTGTAGGAAACATGTGAGTGATGAACGAAGTGACAAAATTGAACACAATGAGTTATCGGGTTGGATTAATTATTTTTATCGGGTTGGATGAACCGTTATACTCCGTTATAATTCTGACGCTACAGCATACATTATTGCTCTGTGAGAAATAAATCGAATTGGAAGTAATGACACCGAAGACAACCGCCTATGTTGTCAACGCGAACGCTAGGACGGAACGCTGTAGGTTGCGTAGCTACCGCTAGATGGCAGGGTCAGTGCGCGCCTGAAGATAGGCTGTGCCGCATAACACCACCACGAATAGTGTACAGCGCGGTGCGGCGGAAAGAGTTGAGCCGTTTTGGTCGCAACTGAACTCGTATTTCATTTGGTAATACTCAGCAAAATGCTGCTATTTTGTTCTCAAATCGCAGTACACATATCCCTGTCCTTGTCATCACTCATCGCTTTACCTACATGTATACTTTACATCTTTTGTATCTTGCTTTTCTTGTCTTGTTGTTGAATCCTAAAGTAGCCGACAGGCGACTTCTCCATCTATTTGTTGTGCTCTTTCACTCTCTTTTACACTCATCCCGCTCTCTCTCCAGTGTGTTGTGTGCATCAGCTCCAAGGCGACTATGCAGACCTTCCCCTGCGGACACTGCGTCGTCTGCCGCAAGTGCTTCATCAAGACCATCCAGATGACGGTGGCACAGCGGGCGCTGCCGCTCAGGTCAGTCCGAGGACTTATCATGCAGGTGGGCAGTCGTCGGTAATTCAGGCAAGCGGCCATTCACTCAGTCTGAAGGTGATGTTTATCGAGCAGTTGTTCCTTTATCCAAGAAATTATCAAATTTGTTGGCATGATTTGAATGAAAGAAATTGGATGAACTGAATTAAACTGATGGATTGGTTTGAATTGGACTGAATTGAACAAATCTGATAATTTCTTGGATAGGGGTAATTTCAAATCCAGAAACAAATATTCAGACGTATTTATTTCTAATAACTCGCATACTTAACCTTTCCCCTTTACACGCGAGAAAACTATCCACCCAGGTGATTGATCACCCACTCTGCAGCCCTCGCATGTTCCACCCGACATCGCAATGTCACCGAGCTCCGTGCTCCGCTCACGAGCCGTCGAGTCGCCGTGACAGTGCGTCCGTGTTCCGGCTCTCACTCTGAGGGGTGGCACGCCTCTCCCATCTGACCACCATCTGTCACAGTACACCGCACAGCCGCATTTAATCATGGGCCAATTACATCTACCTAATTAATTACGCGGCGCTCTAGTGGCGGTGACGTCACAATGGAGAGTGGCAGCTTCTGGTTGCCATGGTGACGGCCCGGGGCAGAGACAAGGCGCTCCTGTCGCCTCTGATGACTGATGACGGCCATAAACTCGGCTGTGACCGGCGCAACGGCAGGGATACCCAACCAGAGCAGCCGTTTCGAAAGGATTGGATTGCGGGGACAGCAATTTATCAGGCTCAACTCCACAAATCTCTTTTAATATTACATTTGTGAAATTTGCAATAACTGAAGGTCATGCACGGTAAAGAATCTGTAATACGGGTAATTGGAGCGGATGTCATGCGAAATTGTGTCTGGTCAACCATCTTTGGTCACCGGTATGAAGGTTTGTCTATGTTTGCGTTACATCTTTTTTCGATATCCACGGACTGTGATATCCTGTTTTCAGGTGTGTGCTGTGTCGTGAGCGCGTGATTCGGCTGAAACAAACCTTCAATTGCTCATACGCCATGCGTCTGCCGCTCTCCGTCTCCCAGTACTCCATGACGTCATCCGTGACGTCATCGCCCGACTGGGACCTGCCGTCGTCGTCCTCGCTCTACTCGGTCTCATCAGGCTGTTCAGGTAAGGACAGCAGACTTCGCTCAAATATGCCTAACGAGTTTCATCTCAAACCTAGACCTCTTAACTACTTTTCCACGCCCAAAGTGAGGTGCTTCTTTTGCTACTTTTCGATAGTTATAAGAAGTTTTTGGCAAAAACATTAATGTCTAAGATATTTCAATCCACGAAAAGGTCACTACCTCATTTAGCCCTCCACGGCTGACAGCGGCGCAATATCCCTCGGCATTATCACGTCCTTTCTAAGACCGGAACTCCCAACATCCTTTAACTTCACTCTGAGACGGGTATAGCCCGTCTATTTCCACATCCCCGGGCATCCCACCGGTTACATATAGAACCCCTCTCCGAGGATTCCCTCATTGAGTGCGGCGATATATCTGTGCTCTGTGCGGGACTTTCTGTCTCCATTCAGCGGGGCCTGTCCGGGGCGGCTATTGTGGGCCTGTCAGCAGCTTCAGAGAGCTGACGGAACGGACGGCAGGCGCTGATGGCCAGTGACCCGCGCTGCCGACCAGCTACATCAGCCGCAGGGACAGGAGCGGTCATTGTCAGCAAATAAAGCGCTAAATATAGGACTGTATCTGAGCTGAGGGGCTGTAAGTGCAAAATGTTGGTGGCAGAGACTATTTGCGTGTCTAGGCATGTAGAAAGGCATGGAGGCTTGTCCTTCCAACTGTGTCGGCTTCTTGGAGTGATTTTCTGCGGGATAGTCCAATGTATCTGAAGCGATCCGATTAAATACCCATGTAAGGTATCCATGTAAACTTGTCAGCTGCATGTGCAGTGTACCACCAATTCAGTCTGACTCTCTATTATGTTTTCTACGCAGTTGTGTCAGCCGACAGCCAGGCGAGCCGCCTCAGTAAGTCTTCCCTCCGCTCCGGAGCCAGCAGCGTCTCGTCCAAGAAACGTGTCACATTCGCCGTCTCGCCACTGCTGCATATTCCGGCGCAGACGGCACAATCAACGCCGGTAAGTAACCTGTAGTGAACGTACTTCGGTGCATGCAGATTTAGGATTGGATATGCATTCATGAAAAATAGAGATGCCACAGCCAGCTGTTATTCGAATGTGGACTGTAATCGCCACGCCCCGCGTGGATTGTCCATGAAGGTAATACAATACAATACAATATTCGATAGCTAGATGCTATGGAGTTACAGAACGGTGGGAATTTGTTAGCTCAATAAGACAGGCTTGAAAACAAATGTAGTAGACTCTAGTAGGAGTAGACTAAAGATTCTGTATGTTCTTACGAAAGACATGTTGCGTATGGTATCTAAACGGTAGAGGTTTGCGGAGGGTGCACTAGGTAAGTAGTTTACACAAAGATACGCGGTGGATCGTAGCTAAAATAACAAGATTAGAAGATCCCTTATTAACAGCCTGAACAAATTTCCGTCGTGAGATTAGTTCCAGGGGCCTGTCGTCAGTCGGCTTCGGAATTAAAGTCGGAAAATTCCACTGAGCGAACATTTAGCACCCCTGACGGCGCCATTTGCCACACCTCGCTCTCCGTTCGGGATGGTTTGCAGCCTGAAATGAGCCCGGTTCCAGGGAACCTCTGGACTCCCTGACCCCCGCCAGACCGGCCGGCATACGTCGGGTAACAGGAGACACCATATAGGCGCACACCAACGTTCACCCATTTCACGACGAGGTGACCTCGGGGAGGCATTGACACCGCTCCGTTTGTTGGCAATCCGATGGAAGCGCCGAGATGGGAGCCTTCCGTTGTCGCTCTGTGAGCTGATTGGTTGTCTTTGGCCGCCGACCGCGCAGGGAAGAGCGGGCAATTGGAGTCGGTAAGCAGTGAGGTGTATACGAGATACGTGTGGCGTGTGGTGCCGGTGCCGGGTCTGGATATTCCAGCTGGCCCATTCTGGGCTAGTCGGTACCCCGCGCACGTCGGACTAGACCAGACGGCGGAATGTGGATAGTTCCTGGATGAGCCTGGCGGCGTGATACAGTGATACAAACTTACTGAAAAGGATTTTTCATAAATCATTCAGCCTTTAAGATTCGTGCTGTCAGTCACCTTTACCCTTTCCATTAAACAACTAGGAAATAACTGTATATGGCTATATAATGTCAAATGGAATAAAACTGAACTTCTTCCTTACTTGACTGATGGCCACAACTTAGCTCCAAATCCGTATCACCTTTGACGTTATGCCTGCTGAGTGAATCACAGCCATTTACCTTGATACCTTTGTGCGATGGAGCGCCATTCAGGTGGACAAAGCCGCCTCCCCTCCCCACCAGCCCCGGGGGTGACTCACCTGGGGCTCGTGACACCACGTATCGATCCCGGGACCCTTCCACAAACCACGCATTACCGGTGTGTGCCACTCGACGAGGTGACACCCACGCCAGGACAGCTGGACGAGCTCGTCCGTCCACAACTCACCAACTCCGGGCCATTGCGTGGGAACGCCTGGCCCAACTCGTATACGAGCCAGGTCGGTAGGGCGAGCGATAAATAAATTCCACAGTCGGTGAGTCGTAAGGTTTCATTACCGAGGAATGCGACCGACTTTGTCACTTTGGCCGCTCGAGTCAGCAGACAAGCTATCTGCTGTGAAACAAGCGTGGAACCCGGGCCGCGGTTCGGTTAAGTGGAATGCGTGCGGCCGGGCAGTAGACTCGGAATACCCAAAAATAGACGCAGACACGCCAGTAGGGACTAGATTTACACCAGTAGCCTTGGCAGTTGGGCCATAAACAGCGGTGGTGGGTACTTATCCCAAGGCAATAACGTCAAAACATTATTGACGAGTAATGCAAATGATAAGGATTAAGAAATGCAATATTCAAGTCCAACTGTATGAAGTGATCTGTGAAATGTCAGCTACATACTAACCAGCGTATTGTCATTGCTGTATGCACGATTATCAAGAAAATGATACATGATCATTATTAATTTACTTGGTCAGAATGTCATCATGGCTCGGCTTTTGTGCATGGCTCGGTGCATTATGCGGCTGGTTCAAATCGTAGACAGAATCGATATTCAGATCCAGCCACACCTTTCAATTAATGCTATCATTAATCAAACGCAAATGGTTCCTGTGACCTCCAAAGCGGACGGCCTGGCTTCCTACGTTAGCAGTGGCGCTCCAACTGACATAGCGCGTTCGCTCTGACTCGTGAATGGGAGTCTGCAACTCTATATCCTGACCAGTCATCGGTCCTTTGGCAGGGTCTCACGTCATCTCCGTGCAGGGGAGCAGGCCGCCCGGCGCGAGCAGACCGCCAGCGAGCAACCAATCAAAGAACCGACAGCCGCGGCAAGGTCAGTAATCAGCCAATGAGTCTGAGATTCGTAGCGACTGAGACGGGCGGGACAAAAA